ATATTAATAAATTATTAATTGATAGTTTTTTATTATGTAGAAAAAAATGTTTATTGTTTAACAATTTAAATGTATATAACAATATAACATACAGGTCTGAGGTCAGGTAGGTAAGCCTGAAACATGAAAGTACGTACCTATTACCAAAATGAAAATTATCAACAGACAACTATAATAATTCTCATCTTGTTGTTATCAGTCTTCTGTTTATCACACCATAATAATTTTTTATATTAAAACAATTTATAACAGTACTTAAAAATTAAAGCTTTGTAAATTTTAGAAATCAGTGTCAGTGTATGGCAATTGACATTGGGTAAAATATATTTAAAATTCTATGATTTAATAAAAAATTTTCAGTGTAGAATACTCTAGATGCATTAAAATAGTCGAATAAATTTTATTTTATTAAACTACTGATTTCATAATAGAATATTCTCAATTGATAGACCAGGTGTCTTCAGTTATGGTGCCAACTAAGAAAACAGTTACTATTGTAAACATCGTAAGTTCATTATCAATTCTTAATTACTTAAATAATAAATACAATTTAGTTAAATAATTTCTCTGATAAAACAGGTAGTCTACACATAATTAAGAGGATGTCATACTCGCATATAATGATATCTCCATCTTACTAATGTATGATATTCCAAAATATATAGCAGTTCAAATTTAAATATTTGAGTGAATTGACCTATTATCAAATTTAAATGTAAGAAAAGTTTCTATATCCTCTCATTGRTTTGCTTACAATGTTTTGTTTTTAAGTGAATTATAAGTATATAAAGTATTAATATTTAAAAATGCACTTTATTCACTTTAAAATATATCTTAGAAAACAATGGTAAGACATAGATAATGTTCATATATTAAAGTTTGATAATAGGTTATTTCACTCTAATATTTAAATCAATAACACAAAATTGAAATTGCTCGATGTATATTTTGGTATATTATGTGTTAGTTAGTCAGACAACACATGCAGTTATAACATTCTCTTAAGAAATTTTATTTAGACTGGATGTAAATATAATTTATGTACATTTCTGTCATAACTATTTAGTAACACATACCTACATACTTAATTCTATTTTTTTTTTTAATTAGGTACTTTATGACTCAACATCTTAATTATATATTGTTTCAAAGCATAGCACCTACACATTTTTTCAAATACAATTAACTAATTTTAGTAAAGTATTAACTCACAACTAATTAAAAAATTTTTCCAGGGTCTTTTATTAATCACTATTTTTGTTTGGTCGTATGTTGTTGCTGCTGCTCAAATGATCCACGAACAAACGTCGTCTTGTAATTAGTGAATTATCATATTTAGCTTAAAGAAGTCCTTTACTAATTTTCTTGGTTGCGTAAACTAAACATGGAATCAACTACTGTTGAAAAACCAATTAATCAAAAGTCATCATTTGATTTATCTTTTAAAACAAAATTAAAAGAAATTAATGACATGTTAATTAGTATTGAAAACAATTGTATCAAAACCGATAATTTCCATGATATTTTACAAAAAATTAATGAGCTTCAAGAGTTCTTAAATGATTCCAAAACATTTTTACCTGCTTATAATATGAAGAAGTGTTCTAATGAAATCAAAGACATTACGAAGTCTTATGAACAATTGCATGACAAATTACAGCCCAAGAAAAAATTTACTTTTGGTAAACGACCAACTAAAACAGTAGTTAAAACTAAAGTCGAAGACAAATTTGAACCAATAGATGAATCAAAAGTCTATAAAGAAGATTTAGGATTTAAAAATCGTTCTAATGAAAATCTAATACTCTCAGAGGATGAAACTTTTTCAAAAGATATAGCTTTAGACGTATTGACCAATTGCAATGTCATTATTTGTGGTACACCTAGTACTGTGCGTGTGACATCATTGTCAACGTGTAAAATATTTACATGTGCAAGCACATCAATATTTGTGGAAAACTGTAAAGATTCTATATTTGTATGCGCATCTCAACAATTACGTATTCATGATACTTTTGCAACTGATTTTTATATTTACGTTACTAGTAGCGCTATAATAGAAAACTGTAAACAATTAAGATTTGCTCCACTTACTCTCAGTAGCCTAATACTTAAAAAGTCATTTGAAATAGCTAATTTTGATGAATCTAATAATAATTGGAAAATTATAAATGATTTTGATTGGTTGTCATCTTACGAGTCATCGCCAAATTGGTGTGAAATACCAGAAGAAGAACGCGATCAACCTTCAGAAAACAATTATGTTTAGTATAATATTATGTTAACATTTTTTTTTTTTTAATTTCCATATAAAACACAACTTTAATAAAATATATTTTTCACTCTCATTCCCACTAACTAAAATTATATTTATYTTAATTTAATCTATAAATAATTTTTGTTTTAATTCTTTTTTCACTACTTAAAATATTAACTTTGATGTAGGAAATTTATTATATTGTAATATTAGTGTTAAAGATATGAAAATATTACAAATATGTTTTAATTGAATTTATAATAAATTATTTAACTAGAAATTATCTCTTATATTCTAAATCTAATAATTTGAAGAGGTTTAATCTTTTATACAACTTGTTACTTGTGTGATGTTAGTTGATTATGTTTCGAAAACACTGAATATCATATTTTGATCCTTATGTCCATCAATTAAAATAAAATTAGGAACAAGATCTATTCATGTTACAACTTGTAGTTGACTCCATAGTGACAATGTTTCAATTATTAATCACTGAAATAAAGTCACTAAGTAATTTTCTTTTTTTTTAATTACTTTAAAGAATATTTCATTTATAGAAGATTATGAAATTGTGGACATTTGGGCATGTCTAGTATTGATATAGGGACTTAAACAGTTTTATATTATTTAAATACCTACAGTGGCATAGACAGGAATGTTCGCTGGGGAAAGAATATATTATATTATATATATTTATTATTTATATGATAAATTGMCAGGTAAGTGAACTCTCCTCCCTGCACTAATATTATATACATATATATAATAAAAGGTCATAGGAGGATTCATCCTTTATAACCCGACCTCATGTGAATAGGCCTATGTTTAAATATAATTTAAGGTACTCGCGTGCCTCACAAGATTAGTTTCAGTCAATCATATTTTTAGTATCTGATTTTTTTAATCTATTACTGTATTGAATTAGATACATTAATTTATTATTTTATTATAATTGTAAGACTTGTATCATTTAGTATTCATTATAATTTGACATTAGTGATCAAATTTTCAACAAAACTATAATACTACAAAGATCAAGGGGTCAAAGATGTTGTTGGTAGGGACTTTTATCCACTGTTATCACAAATTAATAAATATATWAAATACAGTCAAGGTCTGATAACTTGTATCTTAAATTCTTAAGGAAGATACAAAAGATTACACTTATGTATTTYCCAAATAAATATCTTAAATATAATTTATAAACACTTCAGAGGGCAAAAAAAGGTTTTCTAGTTATTCCAACTCTATTATAATATCAAACTATTTCCAAAAATACATATGAATTAAGAGAACAAATAACCTTTTTTAAAGGTTAACTATAAATAATAAAACTAGTCTGAAATATAAAAAAATATTAGTAACCTACAGGCTACATTTTTTGTGAAACATTATTATTTTCATATTATAATGCAGTTCATTATCTGTGAATGATTTTTGTCTGGTTCAAATAGATAATCCCTCGTTA